GGGCTTCCCCAGTGTGCTGTGGCAGTTGTTGGTCTAGGTAGGTTGTTGATGGTTTGTGATGATAAGTGTATGGTATGGACCCATCTGTGGTATGGTGTGCATGGGTAAATTCCAGTTAAACCTCAGTGTATCCTTGTCTCCGAGTCGGTGCGTTGCGGTTGGAGGCCTAGTAGGAACATTAAGGTTCTGCAGGAGGAGATCAATATCGTTTTGGGTGCCTGCCTAGACCAACAACTCATTCCATACATTTATGGAGGTTTCTGTTTTAAGGAATGTTTTCTGTATATTTAAGTTAAATTGTTAATAAAAGGCCATGAAGGCCATTTTACTCCAACAAAGTGTGGTCTCCTTTTATTGGTGGAGGGAGTGTTGGCAAATGGTTTTTTTTTGGAAGTTGGGTAAGTATGTTTTGGGGGTGTTAGCATTTGACAACACATCTCTTCTACGCTAGTCATGGATTGCCAGGCAATAACTAGTATTTAATCCAGAATACACACTTTCAGAGATTCTGACAAGCTTTACAAGCTTTACATGAGGTGCTTCAGAACAGTATATGGTATGATTTAAGTGGTTCTAAAGGTTGAAGGTTTTCTACCTTCATGCGTTCTATAATTCTATGCATGAAGGTAAAGAACCTTCAATGTGCAATGGATCTTGATCCAGCAATGTACACAAAAGCAGCGGCTCTCCCGGGAGTGAGCATGCCCAAGTGTCCCTATAGCAAGCAGCTTGCATTGGGGATACTCAGAAGGGTGAAAGAGCCAGGTGCATGGGGGAGGGGGGGGTTGGGGGGGGACCCAAGAAGAACCATTGCACAGAGCAGGTAAGTATAACATGTTTGTTGTTAAAAAAAATTTAACCTATAGTATCAATGTAATATACCAGAGAAGGGGGCTAGGTGGTGCGCAGAGGTAATCTGTGCATGCCATGCTGAAAGGTGGCAGTGGCCAAGTCATGCTTATAAGTTTGGAGGAAGACAAACAAGCGAGCGCTGAGAACAAGCTGCTATTGCACCACAAAGGCAACCAAATAACCTCCAATGACATATAATGATATGTGCAGCGCTAAAATACCCTATTGGTAAAATGCACATTTAAAAGCTCATATAAAACTAATTATAGCAATCAAGATGAAAGTGCAATAATAAGGTGCAAAATGAGTAAAGTGCTATTAGATGTACGTTTAAAAAACTCATATAAAACTCATAATATCAATCAACATGAAATGTGCAATAATAAAGTGCTGATGAATAAGGTGCTGATAAAGAGGAAAATAATACTTCAATCCTCATATGAACAAGTGACATATAGGCCCTGATTTACGAATGTGCCTAGGCGCATTTCTGTGGGCTAACATCTACTTTTCAATAGCGACCGTCTACTTTTAGACGGCAAAGGCATTTACTAAAGAAAGCTTCAACAAGTAGACGCGAAAGCAAATTTACTAACCAGGCACAATCCAGGAATCAGATTAAAAAAGCAGACGTACTAAGAAGCACGTCTAACACCACGAAAAATCATTGCAGAGACATGTTCACATTGAAATTTGCTTTCACAAATATCGGGACTTCACTTTAAACAATATCTTACATTTCCAAAAATTTTAAAAATTAAAATGCGCAAGTGCAGAACACATTTTAGCCATCTGCTGTGCGCGCTTTCTTTTTAGATGTTGTTTAATAGTAAATCTCTGTGTGGAGTCCTCTGACAGACAGCACTCGATCGCATCTACTGTGTTGATTTCCTTAGTTCTATTGATTCTGTTTTTGTTTCTTATCCTTTATAATTATTTCTGTAATGTTTTTACATATTTCGAAGGTCTAGATAATATATATTTTGACAGCTGAATCTAAAAATAAAGGTCAGCAATTATTTTTTTTTTAAAAACGGCGTGGGTCCCCCCTCCCATCAACACCAAGCCCTTCAGGTCTGGTATGGATCTTAAGGGGTAACTCCACGACAAAAGTTAAAAAAAAATGGCTTGGGGTTCCCTATCCATACCAGACCCTTATCCGAGCATGCTGCCCAGCAGGCCAGGAAAGGGGGGGATGAGCAAGCGCCCCCCCGAACCATACCAGGCCACATGCCCTCAACATGGGGGGTGCTTTGGGGCAGGGGGGCTCCCCCCTAAAGCACCTTGTCCCCATGTTGACAAGGTCCTCTTCCCCACAACCCTGGCCAGTGGTTGTGGGGTCTGTGGGTGGGGGGGCTTATCAGAATCTGGAAGCCCCCTTTAACAAGGGGTACCCCAGATCCTGCCCCCCCCTACGTAAATGAATATGGGGTACATGGTACAGCTACTTATTCACAAAAAAAACAAAAGTGTAGTGTAAAAAAAGACAGGACAAGGTCTTTGACAAGTCCTTTAATAAAAGAAACATCCAAAAGAATGTCCCCTGAAGTAGATCCAACGTCAATGACGGTGTAAGCTGCTGACCCGAAAAAAGAGAAAAAAACACAGGTTCCGTTCCCAACGATGGCATCCAGCACACTGCTGTTGGCTGGGTTGACAGTTCTTAAATATGTAAGGGACTGGGCAACCCAGGGACATCACACATGTGACCCCACCCCATGTGACATCAATTGCCACATTAAGCATCGGCTGTGGCAGAGATTCCAGCATCGCTCCACTGTGCTGAAGATCCAGCACAGTTTGAGCGATGTCAAGCGGCGCAACCCCGCTTTTTAAAAAAAGTGGACCGCGAATACCTGGTAAGTCAAGTTGTTAAAAAAATCAAAGTAAAGTTTTTAGTATTGTGATAAATGTTTGGGACACATTCATTCTTAATTTGTTATGCAATAATGTTGTCTTTGTTGACTTGTTCTAGCCACAGCTGATGGGTGCCAGGCAATGGTCTGCTTGGTGAAGAAGGCACACCGTAGGACAGCCACCATCCAATATTGCCTGCCACAAGGGGTCATCCCCCACGCAGACTAAGGATTGTGGAGGTAAGCACAAGTTCTTGAAGCTTGGACCTCATGACCTTGTCATTGTTGGCATCTCCCCACTGATCTACAATGACTGTTAATTGTACATTAATGCCACATTGTTTTTAAATGACATGATTAGAGATGAGCGAATTATTCAAAAATTCGAATCGGCTGATTCGCCGAATTCGCGGAATAAATTCGATTCGAGGCGAATATATTCGCTGCGAATTTAACTTATAAAAGGGTGTTTCTAGGCTTCAGAGAGCCTTTATATTAGTGCAGAACACTGTACCTTTATTTAAATGCCCTTGGAGTCTGCTGGGAAGAGAACTAATACTGTCAGTCAGTATGACATGCAGATGAGTGCCGTCGATCTTAGAATCACCGCACACTTCACTCATTTGGGCAGTCACGGGGCCAAAACCAGAGTGTGGAGCCACAGTGTGGCGGTGGAGGCAGCAGCAATGGGAGGCCATACAGCACCCCTATGACAAAATGGAACCCACCAGCAGTTTGTGAGGAGGACCTGAAAGTGGCACATGGCAGAGTGTGGCGATGGAGACAGCAGCAATGGGAGGCCGTTACAGGACCCGGCATGACACACTCTGGACCTTGGCAGCAGGATCATGAGGAGGCGGTACAGGGGCCCATGACAGATTACGGGCCCTGGCAGCAGCAGTGGGCGCGGGCGGTGGGGCGGTGGATGCCTAGCAGTATTCGGAAGCCAAACACAGGCCTCGGTTAAAAAAGCGGAAGCCGTCAGCAGCGTGAGCAGACGACAGAGGCACATGGCGCTATGGGTGGCGGTGGAGGGCAGCAGCAATGGAAGGCCATACAGCACCCGATCACAAAATGGAACCCTACCAACGAGTGTAAGGAGACCTGAAAGTGGCACATGGCGCAGGGTGGCGGTGGAGGCAGCAGTATTCGGAAGACATAACAGGACTAGTTTAAAAAGCGGAAGCCGTCAGCAGCGTGAGCAGACGACAGAGGCACATGGCGCAGGGTGCGGGTGGAGGCAGCAGTATTCGGAAGCCATACACAGGCCTAGGTTAAAAAGCGGAAGCCGTCAGCAGCGTGAGCAGACGACAGAGACACATGGCGCAGGGTGGCGGTGGAGGCAGCAGTATTCGGAAGCCTACACAGGCCTAGGTTAAAAAAGGCGGAAGCCGTCAGCAGCGTGAGCAGACGACAGAGACACATGGCGCAGGGTGACGGTGGATGCAGCTGATGTAGCAGATTCGGAAGCCAAACACAGGCCTCGGTTAAAAAGCGGTAAGCGGTCAAGCCGTGAGCAGACGACAGAGGCACATGGCGCAGGGGTGGGGTGGAGGCAGCAGCAATGGAAGGCCATACAGCACCTATCACAAAATTGGAACCCACCAACAGTGTAAGGAGACCTGAAAGTGGCACATGGCGCAGGGTGGCGGTGGATGCAGCAGTATTCGGAAGCCAAACACAGGCCTCGTTTAAAAAGTGGAAGCCGTCAGCAGCGTGAGCAGACGACAGAGGCCACATGGCGCAGGTGTGTACGGTGGAGGCAGCAGTATCGGAAGCCATACACAGGCCTAGGTTAAAAAGCGGAAGCCGTCAGCAGTGTGAGCAGACGACAGAGACACATGGCGCAGGGTGTCGGTGGAGGGGCAGCAGTATTTTCGGAAGCCATACACAGGCCTAGGTTAAAAAGCGGAAGCCGTCAGCAGCGTGAGCAGACGACAGAGGCACATGGCACAGGGTGGCGGTGGAGCAGCAGCAATGGAAGGCCATACAGCACCCCTATCACAAAATGGAACCCACCAACAGTGTAAGGAGACCTGAAAGTGGCACATGGCGCAGTGGTGGCGGTGGAGGCAGCAGTATTCGGAAGACATACACAGGACTAGGTTAAAAAGCGGAAGCCGTCGGCAGCGTGAGCAGACGACAGAGGCACATGCGCAGGGTGGCGGTGGATGCAGCAGTATTCGAAGCCAAACACGAGGCCTCGGTTTAAAAAGCGGAAGCCGTCAGCACGTGAGCAGACGACAGGCACATGGCGCAGGTGGCGGTGGAGGCAGCAGCAATGGGAGGCCATACAGCACCCTATGACAAAATGGAACCCACCAGCAGTGTGAGGAGACCTGAAAGTGGCACATGGCAGAGTGTGGCGATGGAGACAGCAGCAATGGGAGCCGTACAGGGACCCATGACACACTCTGGACCTGGCAGCAGCATGAGGAGGCGGTACAGGGCCCATGACAGATTACGGCCCTGGCAGCAGCATGAGGAGTCGGTAAAACTGGGGGCCCATGCAGATTACGGGCCTGGCAGCAGCATGAGGAGCGGTACAGGGGCCCATGGCAGAGTGGCGGAGCGTAAGCAGCTTAAATTGAAGGCCATACAGAGGCCTATGTTAAAAAGTCCCCCCACAGCAGCAGCGTGGGGAGACGAATAATAGTCGTCTCCCCACGCTGCTGCTGGGGTGGACTTTTTAACATAGGCCTCTGTAGGGCCTTCAATTTAAGCTGCTTACGCTTCGCCACTCTGCCATGGGCCCCTGTACCGCCTCCTCTTGCTGCTGCCAGGTCCAGAGTGTGTCATGGGTCCCCCTGTACGGCCTCCCCATTGCTGCTGTCTCCATCGCCAGACTCTGCCATGTGCCACTTTCAGGTCTCCCTTACCTGTTGGTGGGTTCCATTTTTTGTGATAGGGTTTGCTGTATGGCCTCCATTGCTGCTGCCTCCACCGCCACCCTATTCGCCATGTACCTCTGTCGTCTGCTCACGCTGCTGACGGCTTCCGCTTTTTAACCGAGCCCTGTGTTTGGCTTCCGAATACTGCTGCATCCACCGCCACCCTGCGCCATGTGTCTCTGTCATCCTGCTCACCAGGCTGCTGACGGCTTTCGCTTTTTAACCTAGCCTGTGTATGGCTTCAGAATAATGCTGCCTACACCGCCACCCTGCGTCATGTGCCTCTGTCGTCTGCTGCTCACGCTGCTGCCAGTCCATACTGATTCATGGCCCCCTTACCGGCTCCTCATGAACGTGGTTCAGCGGGTTTGCATCACTTAACGGCAAATCGTTGACAAACGCTGGGGACGTTCAGTGTTGAGCGCATTAAGCCAGACACCAAAGGGCAGCACAGACCTGTTATTACTCGCTCAAGCATGCTGAAACAAAACCAGTCTCTACCACAAATTGGACCCAGACCTTGCCCAGGGTCTCGTAAGTAGATTGCACGGAGGAGTAGAGTTCGTTATTGGAGGGATTAACTGTGAGGGACTTTTAAACCTAGCCTGTGTATGGCCTTGCGCATTCAATTGAAGCTGCTTCTGCTCCGCCACTCTGCCATTGGACTACTTGATTGCGTCGACCATCAATGAGGAGCCGGTCTTGATACCTGGCAGCACGGGAGCACGACAGAGGCATGATGGCGCAGGTACAGCATTATTCTGAAGCCATACAATCAGGTATGGACCGGAAGCCGTCAGCAGCGTGAGCAGACGACAGAGGCACATGGCGCAGGTGGGCGTGTAGATGCAGCAGTATTCTGAAGCCAAACACAGGCCTAGGTTAAAAAGCGAAGCCGTCAGTTAGCGTGAGCAGACGACAGAGACACATGGCGCAGGGTGGCGGTGGCAGCAGTATTCGGAAGCCAAACACAGGCCTCGGTTAAAAGCGGAAGCCGTCAGCAGTGTGAGCAGACGACAGAGACACATGCGCAGGGTGTCGGTGGAGGCAGCAGTATTCGGAAGCCATACACAGGCCTAGGTTAAAAAGCGGAAGCCGTCAGCAGTGTGAGCAGACGACAGAGGCACATGGCGCAGGTGGCGGTGGAGGCAGCAGCAATGGAAGGCCATACAGCACCCTATCACAAAATGGAACCCACCAACAGTGTAAGGAGACCTGAAAGTGGCACATGGCAGAGTCTGGCGATGAAGTCAGCAGCAATGGGAGGCGTACAGGGACCCATGACGCACTCTGGACCTGGCAGCAGCAAGAGGAGGCGGTACAGGGGCCCATGGCAGAGTGGCGAAGCGTAAGCAGCTTAAATTGAAGGCCATACAGAGGCCTATGTTAAAAATAATAACATGTTTGGGGCATGATTCATGGCGGATTTAGTCAGTTGTGTCAGGAACTGGTGGTTTGAAATCCAGACTAATCCACGCCTGATTCATTTTCACAAACGTGAGTCTCTCCACACTTTGGGTGGACAGTCGTGTCCTCCGCGGAGTTACAATACCTCCTGCCGCACTAAACACGCGCTCCGATGCCACGCTACTGGCCGGGCATGACAGCCTTTCAAGGGCAAATTCAGCTAGTTGGGGCCAAAGTCAAGTTTCGTTGCCCAGTAGTCAAGGGGATTGTCTACCTCGGTTGGCAGGGTGCTGTCCAAGTAGGCCCGAGCCTGTTGTTTGAGGTCCTGCTCCAGGTCCACCTGATGCTGCTGCTGCTGCGGCTGGTTAGTAGTTTCTCCTCACTGCGCCTGGTGAAGAAAGCTACTCATCATCGACTGCAGACTGAGGCAGCTGCTGCTGGTGGAGCTGCCACTGCTCCTACCACCCCCCCCCCCTCCCCTGCTGCCATGGCAGCGGAACGCGAGCGCACAGGGCCCACAGTGTCTGAGAATGGACGTTGGCGCAGAAAGGCAGAGACCAACTGACAACATAGGTGGTTTTTATAGTACTTTATTTTGGCCTCCCTCTCAGCAGGTGGTGAAAAAGGCCACCATTTTTGAACGGTAGCGAGGGTCCAACAAGGTGGACAGCCAAAAGTCATCCCTCTGTCTGATGGTTATTATTCGGCTGTTGCTACGCAAGCTACCGAGCATGCTATGGGCCATTTGTGCCAAGGAATGCGAGGGACTCCCTGCCTCCATCTCCACAGCATACTGCCACGGTGCGTCTGGGTCCTCTGTCTCCCCCTCCTCCTCTACCAGATGCTCTGCTCCTCCACTCCTGTCCGCTGAGTGGAAAAACCACCCATTTCACTCAATAATTCCTGGCACCAATGTCCTCCTCTACCTCTCCTCTTCTTCCTGTCCTGCCCCCACAGGGGTCATGTGGCGTTGAGATCTGTGCGCCACGTCTACGCACCCTGACCAGCCATTGTTAACAGCATTTGTTCCAGGACGTGCAACAGAGGATGACGTCGTTCATCCATAGTCCTGCCGACTCACGAATAGCGTGGCCTCCTCAAAGGCCTGAGCAAGCGGCAGGTGTCACGCATGAGCTGCCAATGGCTGACATCTAAGTTACACAGGGGAGTACCTTTATCCGCTTGTAACATCAGGAAATCGGTGTGATGGCCTTTCGCTGTTCGTAAAGGCGGTCTAACATATGTAGGGTTGAATTCCACCTTGTTGCAACGTCGCAGATCAGGCGATGCTGTGGAATTCCGTTCTGCAGCTCAAGGAGGGTGTGCTTTGCGGTGTAGGAATGGCTGAAATGCATGCAAAGTTTACGTGACATTTTTAAGGATGTCTTGCAGTGGGATGGTGGATTTTAGGAACCGCTTGACAACCAGATTGTTGAACACGTGAGCCATGCATGGCACATGGCACAACCTCCTTGACGCAGAGCAGACACCATGTTCTTTCCGTTGTCGGTCAACATGGTTCCGATTTTCAGTTTGCGCGGAGACAGCCATCTGTCGATTTCTCTGTTCATTACACTCAGATAGTTCCTCCCCTGTGTGACTACGTTCGCCAAGGCATACCAGGTGCAGCACAGCGTGACACCGTTGCGCCCTGCACATGTGATATGCCGGTGTCGGGTAATGGGACTTGGCACGGGGTGGCGGCTGAGGACACGGCGGAAGAAGAGGTGGTAGAGGCGGACATCTTTGCTGGACCAAGGACGTGCAAACGTGGAGGCAAAAGTGGTGTGACCTGTCCAAGTTGCTGGTGCGGCTGTGCCGGCACCACGTTCACCCAGTGGGCCGTAAATGACATGTACTGTCCCTGACCGTAGTTACAGCTCCACACGGCGCTGCCGTGCACTTTGGCAGAGACCGACATGCTCACAGACTGGCCCACCATCTCTTCTACATGTGAATGCAGGGCTGGCACTGCCTTTTTGGCGAAGAAATGCCGGCTTGGCACTCTCCACCGCGGCTCGGCACAAGCCATCATTTCTCGGAAAGGTGCTGAGTCCACCACTTGGAAAGGGAGGGACTGCAGCACCAGCAACTTGGACAGGAGGACGTTCAGCTTCTGCACCGTCGGGTGCGTGCTCGCAAACTGTTGTCTCTTGGAAACGGATTCCAAGAAAGACTGCTGACGGAATCCGTGAAAGGAGTAGCAGGAGAAGGAGCATCTGAACAAGCGGAAGATGCCAACGAGCGACAACTCCCCTCAGCAGAGGTGTTGGAGCCTTGACTGGCTGATAGAGGGCGATTGACGTCGGGTGACGGAGCAAGTAACGGAGGCGGGTGATGGAGCGGGGGCTGGGGTCGATTTCTCTGTTCATTACACTGAGAAGTTCCTCCCCTGTGTGACTACGTTCGCCAAGGCATACCAGGTGCAGCACAGCGTGACACCGTTGCGCCCCTGCACATGTGATATGCCGGTCGGGGTAATGGGACTTGGCACGGGGGTGGCGGCTGAGGACACGAAGGAAGAAGAGGTGGTAGAGGCGGACAACTTTTGTGGACCAAGGACGTGCAAACGTGGAGGCAAAAGCGGCGTGACCTGTCCAAGTTGCTGGTGCGGCTGTGACAGCACCACGTTCACCCAGTGGGCCGTAAATGACATGTACTGTCCCTGACCGTAGTTACAGCTCCACACGTCGGCGCTGCCGTGCACTTTGGCAGAGACCGACATGCTCAAAGACTGGCCCACCATCTCTTCTACATGTGAATGCAGGGCTGGCACTGCCTTTTTGGCGAAGAAATGACGGCTTGGCACTCTCCACCGCGGCGCGGCACAAGCCATCATTTCTCGGAAAGGTGCTGAGTCCACCACTTGGAAAGGGAGGGACTGCAGCACCAGCAACTTGGACAGGAGGACGTTCAGCTTTTGCACCGTCGGTGCGTGCTCGCAAACTGTTGTCTCTTGGAAACGGATTCCAAGAAAGACTGCTGACGGAATCCGTGAAGAGGAGTAGCAGGAGAAGGAGCATCAGAACGAGCGGAAGATGCCAACGAGCGACAACTCCCCTCAGCAGAGGTGTTGGAGCCTTGACTGGCTGATAGAGGGCGATTGACGTCGGGTGACGGAGCAAGTAACGGAGCGGGTGGTGGAGCGGGGGCTGGGGCAGGCAGAACCGCCGTATCTTTATCACGGTTTTCCCAGGCCACCAAATGGCGACGCTGCATATGCTGCCGCAACGCTGTAGTCCCAACATGGGCCCCCCTGGCCACGCTTGACTTTTCTGGCCACATAGTCGACATACGGCTACGTTTTACTTCCTCGGGCGCTTGACGAAAAATTGCCACACCGCCGAGTAGGAAACTTTGCCCCCGATACTCCTCACTGGCTGACTGCTACTTCCTCCGTGCACACCGGCACCACTACTGGCCGTGGTGGTAGGCTGCAGTGGAGCTGGTGCTCTACTCCGTGGCCGTTTGCCTCCACTGACACTGCTGCGACCCTGCTGCCTCCTGGCAACCCACCGACTGTTTTGCTCGCTGCCAAGCTGCCACCCTCTTCTCCTGATGATGCGGAAGCAATAGCCTGATGACGACGAGGCTGCCAAGTGCGATCAGCCTCATCATCATCAATTAGGGTCTCCGCCTCACTACTAGCCCCCTCGGCTGCGTGTGGGTCAGGAGACAGACCTGTCTCTAGACCGGCTACCGAGCCAATCTCCTCGCCACTACTTCTTCGCCTGGCTGCTGAAGAGGCGGATGTCTCCCCCCGTTCCTGACCGCCCTCTGTTAGCTCTTCCTTACTGTACAGTGGGGCTGAGCCCACAGCATGCGATACTTCGCTTGGTGAGGGAACACCAAAGGACAGGGGCAGGTCGAGGACACGTGATTTCAGTGGGCTTGCTCCCGGGCCATGCCAACTAACGGTTGTGTCTGACGTACCCACCGACCGTTGGCTGTAGGTGTCAGAGGTGACCTGGGAAGAGGAAGACGACCGAGCCAACCAATCGATGACGGCAGGGTTGTCGGTGGAGACACGACCGCTGGATGACACCGGGAGCAATGGCCTCTGGCTGCGACTAGTGCTGCCTCGACCCCTTCCTCTGCTGCCACGTCTGCTCGCTCCTAAAACATTGCCTCCTCTGCCACTCCTCTGCATGTTGTCTGACATACTCTTTAATTAAACGATTCTGTGTCCCTGAGTAACAATTCTGTGTCCCTGAGTAACAATTCTGTGTCTGTCCCTGAGTAACAATTCTGTGTCCCTCAGTAACAATTCTGTGTCCCTCAGTAACAATTCTGTGTCCCTCAGTAACAATTCTGTGTCCCTCAGTAACAATTCTGTGTCCCTCAGTAACAATTCTGTGTCCCTCAGTAACAATTCTGTGTCCCTGAGTAACAATTCTGTGTCCCTCACTAACAATTCTGTGTCTGTCCCTGAGTAACAATTCTGTGTCCCTGAGTAACAATTCTGTGTCCCTGAGTAACAATTCTGTGGCCCTGAGTAACGTTTCTGTGGCCCTAAGTAACGTTTCTGTGGCCCTAAGTAACGTTTCTGTGGCCCTGTAACGTTTCCCCCCTCCCCCTCACCCCCCCCTACCCCTGGCCCTAAGTAAAAAGCGTTTCTGTGCCCCTAAGTAATCGTTTCTGTGGCCCTAAGTAACGTTTCTGTGGCCCTCAGTAACGTTTCTGTGTCCCTCAGTAACAATTCTGTGTCCCTCAGTAACAATTCTGTGTCCCTCAGTAACAATTCTCTCCCCCTCAGTAACAATTCCCGTGTCCCTCAGTAACAATTCTGTGTCTGTCCCTGAGTAACGTTTCTGTGTCCCTAAGTAACGGTTCTTCTGTGGCCCTCAGTAACAATCTGTGTCCCCTCAGTAACAATTCTGTGTCTGTCCCTAAGTAACAATTCTGTGACCCTATGTAATGGTGGCCCTCAGTAACAATTCTGTGTCCCTCAGTAACAATTCTGTGTCTGTCCCTAAGT